ATAGATAGATAGATAGATAGATAGATAGATAGATAGATAGATAGATAGATAGATAGATAGATAGATAGATAGATAGATTAAAAAGAAACACATTTAAGCTGGGTGTGAAAGTGCCCACCCTACTTCATGCCTCCATGTGTGGGATGGACAAAAGATAATGGTTTTTTTGTAACAGAATGGGGAACTTTTGCCCCTCCAGTTATTATTATTTCAACTCCCATCCATCATGGGCATGGATCAGAGATTCTGGGAGTGAGAGCCCAAAATATTTACAGCAACAAAATTTCCCCATCCCTGCTCTACAGGACAAAGGGACCACTTAGGTTAGGCATCCTTCTCGAAAGACTATGGTGACGTGCTCTGTATGGAGGACTTGGAACAGCGTCTAGTGTGGCTGAAGAGGCCAATTCGAGAGTGACAATCTCTTCCACACTGAAAACAAATCCAATCTGTCCCCTGTCCAGCTCCCTGGTTTTGCTGCTTTTGTGACTTCCTCTTTGCCTCGGCCTGCTGGACAAGGGTCTCTTCAAATTGGGAGAGGCCGTGATGCACTGCCTGCCTCCAGGCTGAACGGTCAGATGTCAGGGTTTCCCATCTGTTGAGGTCTATCCCTAAGGCTTCAGATCCCACTTGCAGATATCCTTGTATGACAGCTGTGGTCTCCCTCTGGGGCGATTTCCCTGCACTAATTCTCCATACAGGAGATCCTTTGGAATCCAACCATCAGCCATTCTCACGACGTGCCCAAGCCAATGTAGACGTCGCTGTTTCAGTAATTTATACATGCTGAATATTTCAGCTCGTTCTAGGACTACTCTGTTTGGAACTTTGTCCTGCCAGGTGATGCTAAAAATCTGTCGGAGGCAACACATATGGAAGGTGTTCATCTTCCTCTCCTGCCATGCACAAAGGGTCCAGGACCACTACTGCCATGGAATCCAGCATTTTCAAGGAAAACATGTAACGTTTGCATTGCTTCTGTCAGTGCCAGGACGTAGTGAGTTATATGAGGTTCAGCAAAATAGAGACTTTCTTTGAAGCTTTATTTGAAAGGTTTCAAGTTCCAAACTTTTAAGTCTAAAACGTACCTGTCAAAATTTTGACTCCCATCTGACCGTCTCTGAAAGACTGTCCATCCTCCTCCTTCTGACATATCACAATAGGCAAAGAATCCATGGGGACTCTCAAGAGGTTTTATTTTGTAAAATCCACTCTGTATGTGTCCAGCATTATAGATCTCAGCACAGTCTGCACCGCTCAAAAAGAAGAGTCATTTCAAAGAGTTAAAATAGTCTTGTTCTCGTTACTTTAACAATTCATTTGTTTAGTGGTGGCCTGAACAACGTGTGACATATCAAGCGAAATACCAGAGCTGGGAAAGAAATTTTGGGTAGGCAAACTACAAACCCTGGGCCCCATTTCAAACCTTTTTTTCCCACTACCATTCAGAAAAATGATCTTTTAAAAATCATTGCAAGATATCAAGATCTATTAAAAATGATTGTGAGTTAAGATCCAAAGAAGAGTTAGAAACACAAAACATATATCTAGACTAGTGGTCCAGAACACAAGTGGAATCTAGGTATAGAAAAGATAAAATTCGCAAAAACATCGTCGTAAAGCAGATTTGTCGTAATGTGGGGCAATCATTAAGCGGGGCATGACTGTATTGATATTGGTCAATGGTTGCAAATATGGAAAAATAACATAAAGCTCACAAAATCGGTAAATTTCCAGGAGAACATATATAAGATGTTTTATAGGTGTCATATGATTCCGAAAAAAATTGTTAAAGATTTATACAGAGGTGTCAAACATTTGTTGGAAGTGTGAAGCACAAGAGGGAAGCTTTTACCATATGCGGTGGACTTGTAGAGTAGCTAAACATTACTGGATAGCATTACATACTCTGTTACAAAAAAATACTGCTTTGTAATGTTCCACTACCCCCAGAATTGTTTTACAGTGGTGCCTCAACTTATGAACTTAATCTGTATTGGAATTGTGTTTGTAAGTCAAAACGTTTGTAAGTCAAATCAGCATTTCCCATAGGAATGCACTGAAAACTGATCAATCCGTTCCGGCTGTTTTTTGTTGTTATGTCAAGGCACGGTTTGCAAGTTGAAGCATTTGTTCCCATAGGAACAAATTCAAAAGTGTTTAATCCATCCTCTATCACTAGGGGGAGATTTTTTTAAAAAAAATCTAAGATGAGCTAAGGTCATCTTAGATTTAAGATGAAAGGAGGGAGGGAATGAACAGCTTTTAAACAAAACACCTTTAAAACCAAGCAGCTTAAAACCAAACCAAGCACCTTTTAAACCAATTTTTGCATTTTAAAATTACAGTACCAGGCAGTACCAGGCAGTCCAAAGTGCATTTCCCGCTTTTTCTGTGTTTTTTTTCTTAAGTCAAAGCTCCGTTCGCAAGTCGAAGCAAAATTATGTGAACGGAGCTGTTCATAAGTTGAATTGTTCGCACGTAGGAACGTTCGTAAGTCGAGGCACCGCTGTACTGAGCATTATACCAGATAATATAGATAAGACATAGAACTACCTAGTTATATATATATAGTCACTGCAGTCAGAATTCTTTCTGCTAAGAACTGGAAGAAATCGGAGATACTGAAACAAGAGAAACTCATTGAGAAGATATGGGAAGTGGCAGAAATGGATATTCTAGCAGAAGTGTTGAAAGACTGCCCAATACAAAAGGCAACTGAATGATGGGATTTACTATATAAATGGCCTGAGTCACCAGATAGTGCTTGAATAACAGAATTAAACTAAGATGTAACTGTAAGTTGAAACCTGGAGGGCAATCAAATTGTAGAAAGGCGAAAAGTCGACTTGATATCACAACATGAACAAACAGATTGGATGACATTTTGTGTTCTCCTCCCCCCTCTTATACCCCCATATCCCCCTCTACCTTTTGTACTCCTTACCTTATCTCTAGTTTTTAAAAAATTAAAAATAAATAAATAAAGAATTATAGAATAACTGAGTTGATACATCCCTATAAGTACATTGAGTCCAAACCCCTTTAGAAGCATGTCCCGTTGTGTCTACAGAGACTTATTTATTTATTACATGGGCATAGAACAGCAGTATAAATATATTTCAGATTAAACACTTTCCACATAAAATAACTCTAGAAAAATATAGTTATTTTACAGAGATGGGACTTACTTCTGAGTAAATATGTGTATGATTGCAGTGTAAGTGAGTACAGAAGTGCAGCCTTAAAAACTTGGAGATATGTGCCTATCAAACAAAAAATTTTCTGTTTTGGATATTCATGCTTCCAAAATAGATTCCAGTAAATTGTGGTGAAACCAATAAGCTTCTGGAATAACTGAAGATATGTAGTGACATGTAAATAAGGGGTTGAATAAGTAGATTGAAAACATTTGGAAACTGGATGTAACTAATCCTTAATTACATATTTAAACTACAATTTATTCTCTGCCATTATTTCTGACTTGCTCTTGATTTGAATATGTTGACTGAAAACATATTTATACAGAAGTACTTTCCATGTTCATTTGCCATCTCCTTGGTCAGTGTTAGCATTTACATTAAATTCAGCTCTTGCCTCCCCGTTTGTGTATCTGCATCTTTAAAATTAATTATCTGTATTAAATATGTATTTGTCTGAATCACTTTTAATCCACTTTTCAGCCTTAAAAGGCTCCGGGAGTAATTTACAAAGATCAGCTGTTACATGTTAATTGCCTTCCAGAATTAAGTCTAGAAGAAACAACACAAAAAGGTAAAGGACAAGGAAGGAGGAAGAGGAAAATCAGCCCAGGTACAGTACCGTATTTTTTGCACCATAAGACACACTTCCCCCCCACAAAACAGGGGGGTGGAAAGTCTGTGTGTCTTATGGAGCAAAGAAAACAGACTATATTTTCCTGTTTTCTTCTCCTAAAAAATTGGTGCGTCTTATGGAAAGGTGCGTCTTATGGAGCGAAAAATACGGGGTAATTGGTTTTAATTACAGTGGTCTTGAAACCAACAGATGGAATAGAAATAGTACAAAAAGACATCTTAGCAGAGCTGATGGACTGGTTCTACTTATTCCTTCCTCTCCTGCTCCCTGATGGAATGGCTGCTGCCAGATTTGTTTTCAATATGGGCATAAGAGCAGCATAATTATAGGCCTTCTTTTGATCTACTACTAACTGTGTTACCTAGATGAAACTTCTGTATTAATGGACTGCATTGTTCCTAATGCTGGGGATGAGCAGCAGGCAATGGTCATAATAATAAATAAATGCCTTGTTTATAAATTTGAGTGCACAGATGGGTCCAAAGCAAACAAAGCAAAACTTGTTCCCTGCAACTCCGAGATTTTAACCCCCTCCCCTTTTCTCTGGATAGTATTACACCCAGAGTGTTAGAATGGATTGTCTTAGGTTTCTTGTCAAAATGGGAGAAAGGTAATTTATCTGAAATTATATCCTTACATAAAGTACTAAATTCCTCCCTCCTTTCCCCTTATGTCTTTACACTGAGATGATATATTAAGTATCAAGATATATTTGATATACCAAGTATATCAAAAATATATAATACTTGGTATTATATATACCAAAGCCAAAACCTACTTAGTAACCATCTGGAAATGAGCAGAGACCTCGATGTATATATTAGTTCTGTTCTATTCAAAAAATCTGCTAACTCTATCAGAAACTTCTGTTTCTGTGGAAACAGCAGACAACATTCAGTTTGATTAACTTGCACTGTCATCTCTCAGACAAATAGCTTCTTCACTGAATTCTATGATCTGGTTTCCACTGAATATGACTTTTCAACTCCTAGAATCTCAGATTCCTTCAGAGCAGGCTGTACTGTTGTCAGCAGAGAGTTCCAAACCTGTAATCATGGTCTCCTTGTGAGCCAGGATTCCCCATGAGAGGAGACAAGTTCCAATAAGCATGAATTGACTTACAGCATCGCTGTTCAGTTAAATCATTCCCTAGAAAATATGTTTAGGACTGCAGAGGCTACTCTTGAAAGAAAGATGAGACCAGCAATATTTTTATCAGAAGGTTCCTGTAAGGAATTGTAAACCAACCAAAATAATGGTACTTTAGTATTACTTGCGTAGGAAAAAATGTGTGTCCCTTCAGTTGCTGAACAACTGCAGTTCTCATCAGTCCCAATCAGCATAGCCAATACTGAGAGATGATGGAAGATGCAGTCTGATAGCATGTAGGGGACCCCATGTTCCCTACTCTGGTACAGAATCAAAATAGTATACAAGAATTCAATTTCAGGCCTTAATAAGGTGTGTGGGATAGATACAGGCTTCTTCTTCTGTAAGATAAAATACATTATGTATTGTGATTTAAAGAGTATTACTTGTGGTTACTGTTCATATCTCATAATCACTAGCTCAAATCCTGTGGCACAGTTATGTAGACGTCGTGACTTTTGGAAGCAAATTGCTGTAATTTAAGAAATCTATGTAGCCATTATCTGTTCAATATTGAGTTAAAGCTGCATGGGAGTTTCTAAAAAATAAATTCTAAAGACAACGTTACAAGTCATTCCAAAAGGGGGAAAAAGTGGAAAGCAACAAAAAAAGATAAATGTGGCTTCACGTAAAGCTCTAACAAAAATGGACACATAAAGGAAGTGGAAGGAAGGCCAGATCACAAAGGAAGAGTACAGACAGGTAGCAAATAATTGCAGGAATGGCATTAAGCAGGGAAAAGCTAAGAATGAGCTGAGGTTAGCAAGAGATGCTCAAAGCAACAAAAACATTATTCAGGTATATGTGTTACAAAAGACAGAAAAGAAATGGTGGTTCAATTATTCAATAGAGATGGCAAAATTATAACATACAACAACAAAAAAGGCAGAAGTTCTCAATTCCTATGTTAGCTAGGTTTTCTCTCAAAACAGAGTCTGTGACCCTCTTGGCAAATGTGGAGGAGGGGGCAAGGTCGCAACTTGAAATTGATAGACAAATAGTAAAGGAATACCTTATTATGCTGAACGAGTTCAAATCTCCAGGTCTTGATAAGCAGCATTCAAGATTATTGAAGGAACTGGCTTAAAACACTCAGATACTATGTCTATTAATTTCTTGAAATTATGGAGGATAGATGAAGTGCCAGGTGTTCGGAGGAGAGCTAATGTTGTCCTTATCTTTAAAAAGGGCAAAAAGAAGAAACCTGGGAACTATAGATCAATCATGTCCATTAGAGTGATGATTTTTTTAGTAACAGAAGAGAGGAATGTCTTTAGTTCCCTCAATTGCACAATGGAAACACTAATAACTTTAAGAGTTAAAATTGAGTAACAGGTTCCCAAACACCCCCATTGCTTTAACCAGGTTAAGTAATTACTCAAACACTGCTTTTAAGATAAAAAGAAAATAGATGTTTACTCACTGAGACTGCAAGTTCTAGTCTTGAACCTGGTTACAGAAGATTTCAGTAACATACAAAAGAATTCTGAGGTTAATAGCAGGAATGAAGAAAAACATTAAAATAGTATAACAAAAGTTGGGGTCTCTGAGACCACATGGCTAAGAGAGAAAATGGTGGACATGAGAGAAATTCAAAAGAGCATCCTTCCTCTATAGTGTTCCAACAGCTTGCGCCTAAACAAAGGCACTAAAACCACTGAAGATAAGGACCATCTTTGTCCATCAAATACAGAGTTTTTGTAAATTGGTCAGAAAGGAGTAGGGTCATGCAACCTACCCAGCAAGTTAGTTTACAAGCTCTTCCTTCCTCTTGGGTGATCATGTTGAACATGTCCACAATACCAGCGAAGTCTGACATCAATCCTGAGGAAAATTCTGGAGCAGGTTACAAAGCAGTCAATCTGTAAGCATCTTGATTACCAGAAGCCAACATGGATTTGTCAAGAACAAATCCTGCAAGTCTAATTTTCTCTCATTTTTTGATTGGGTAACCTCCCCTGTAGATGGCAGGAATGCTGTGGACATAATATATCAGGACTTCAGTAAAGCTTTTGTCAAGTACCCAATGATATTTTAATTAGCAAGCTCAAAGTGTAAGCTGGATAGAAGAACTCTCAGTAGAATCCACAGTTGCTTACAGAATGCTTCCACAGTACGCTTACAGAGCAGAGAGAGTTTATCAATGGTTCCTTCTCAAATTAGAAGGAGGTAACAAATGGGATGCCACAAAGCTCATTCCTGGGCCCATTGCTCTTCAGTATTGTTACTTATGACTTAGATGAGCAGAGTGAGTAAATACTTATTTAATTTGCAAACAACACAAAATTGGGTGCAATAGCAAATATCTTGGAAGACAGAAACAAAATTCAAAAAGATCTTGATAGGCTTGAGGACTGGGCTGAAAAAAACAAAACAGAATGAAATTTAACAGAGATGTGCAAAGTTCTATCCTAGGAGGGAAAAACCAAAATGCACAGTTACAAGAAGTGGCATACTTGGCTCAAAGATCTTGGAATTGTGGTAGATCAAAAGCTGAATATGAACCAACAATAAGGCAAATGCTATTTTCGGCTTCTTAGCAGAAGTATACTCTCCAAATCCTGTGAAGTATTAGTTTTCCTCTATTGGGCACTAATTAGGCCTCATCAAGTTCTGAACACCACACTTTAAGAAGAGTGCAGACAAACTAGAATAGGTTCAGAGGAAAGCAAAAAAAAAAAAAGATCAAAGGACTAGAAATCAAGCCCTATAAGGAAACACTGAAAGATCTGGGTAAGTTTAACCTTGAGAAAAGAAGATATTTGATATTCTTCAAATATTTGATACTCTTCAAATATCTGAAAGCCAGTCATACAGAGGAGAGACAAGATCTGTTCTCAGTCATTCCAAAATGCTGGACACATAAGAGTGGGCTCAAGTTACAGGAAGCCAGATTTCAGCTGAATATAAGAAATATATCATAACTTCCTACAGAATGGAATAAGTTACCTAAGGAGATGGTGAGATCTTCAACACTGGAGGTATTCAAGAGAAAGCTAGACAACCAATGATCAGATATGTTTTAACTTGGATTCCTGCCTCAAGCTGAGAAGCCTTATGGGCCCCTTCCAATTCTATTATTCTATGATTCAGCATTCAGCAGATAAAGTTTATGGAAATGTCCTAATGTATGGGAATTTACTTCCAGAATTATGTCATTTGCCTAATTGTGCAACAGGACTTCAGCTATTCAGAGATAATAGTTATCTATTGATGACCTACCACCTCATGTGGACTCCATGAAGCTATGACTCATTACAGACACAACAGCAACAAACAGTTAAAGATGTTTCTCAGCAATATAATGTGATGTCCTGATTGACAAACCAAGCTTTGTGATCATTAAGAGTTGGTAATTATTATCAGGAATGATCATGTATAAAATGCAATTGACAAGAGAATCAAGGTGAATGTTGCTGGCTACCTCCTCACATGAACCCTGTGAGGCTATAACCATACAAATGCAACAGTAAAATATAGAATACTTCAGTGGACTTTATGAGACGTCCAAATTGATAAACCAAGGTTTATGACTTTATGGTAACCAAGAAACCAGGGTTTGAGGTAAATTCGCAAACCATGCTTTGATATAGACATCTGAATAGACAAAGCATAGTCAAATCCATCACTCTGTCTATAGAGAATGCTTCATTTATTCAGTGCTGAGACAGTGGGCAAAGAAAACAGGCAACTAGCTGGAACCAGGTATTTACCACTTAAAATTAATGACTTCAAGCCATTGTTTGATTTCTAAACGATTGCAAGTATACACCACACGTTTTCGCTTAATGAACGAACTGAAAACTGAAAAGTAAGGTTCATTTCTAACCTTTATACTCTCTGTCTTCTCCCAGGTGGATGACACTCTTTTCTCCTCTTTTATCTCTGCTTTGTGTACCCCTCTCCATTAAGAGCTGCACAATTTTTGCCTGTTGCTGCTTCACATTATGCTCCAGAAGTCTCACTTGGGCTTGAAGCTGCAGTTGCTCTTGGAAACAACTCTCTAAAGTCTTCCAGAGTAGTTAAGGGAAGAAGAAGAGAGATGCATGATGACCATTAGTATTGCTAAATACAGGAGAACACAGGCTTCTCAAGAATCACAGTTAAAGACACCATCACATTAGGCTCCACGAACTTGCTTGAAAATATGAAAGTCAGCCAAGCCTTCCAGATGTATTGGACTACAGAGCTGAGAATGCTGTCTTTAACAACAGCCCAAAGTTTTCTTCTTTAATGGACCTGACTGATGAACTAAGAGTCTAACTGCAGATGATTAAAGGACAGTGGTCCAGTTAAAAAGGAAAGCTCTTTTCCTGGAGTTGGGAAATGTCAGCTTCCAGGTATTTTGACCAACCCCCTCCAAGCTCTTGAATGCCAGTGGTTTCTCATCTCTGACCTTACAGAACACTTTTTTGTGTGCTTTAAAAAAATCATACTTGAATGATGATCATGGAGCTCAGACAAAGAAAACAGTCAAGGTCATAACTGCATCCTGTTACTTGTGGTGAAACCGAACACTGATATGGGATCAGACTTTTTGAGTCACTTTTCTTCAGTTTTTGATTCCGAAAGATGTTCTTCACTTTTCTTAACTAACTGCAGGACCTTAACTAGATGAGAAGAGAAGACAACGGTGCACAGGTACCACTGAAATGGCTTAACATGGAGTAAAATTCACAACTGAATATTATTTTTAGACTCCATCTCTCTTGCCTTCAGTATTCATGTCTAGGTTGTTTTGAATAAGCATTTGTTGCTTGAGGCATGTTGACTCTGGAGCGATCTTGATTGCATGCTTGCCTTTTAAATATTTGTGCAGTGCCTCAGATGTTTGTTTTTCATTTAATTCCTACCCTTGAGTGCAATCCAATATATGGCAATGGAGAACAGCCTGGAAAACATGCGGTGGGATTAGGCAACTTGTCAGGAAACTATTCCAGAGGGACGGGCGCAGTGCCAGTCCAAAGCAGTCCTGGTAATGCTGTAACTATTTGCCCAGAAGGCAAATTTCCCCCCACACTGGTGGGGATGCTACTTTAGTGAAAAGAATTAGGCTCCTCTACGCAGCCAGAAAAGTAGAACCATTCTGATATATTATGGCCCTTGATGATCAATCTATTTTTAATAATTATCTGCCTTTTTACTAATTCCATAACAAACTGAAGCCGAAATCCTAAACACAACTACCTAGGACAAGTCTTATTAAACTTAATGGGGTCTACTTCTGGGAAAAAGCTGAATGCACTCAGACGTTATAACAAACTAGAATCCTCAATAGTCTGGCTTTCTGTGGATGTTCCAGTATATTTAAACACACTGGCTGCTTGCAGAAAATGTGGCAAAATAAACCACAGTTTGTTTAGCTCCATATCTGAAGCCAACAGGAGCCAGCAGTCTGGATTCTTTCTGAATATGGCCAATACATAGTTTGTTTTAGGCTTCTTTGTATGGCCTGTTTGGGGAAATACAAGCCAGAGCACCAGCTCCTTTCACGTTCAGATGTTGACTAACCAAACTATGGACAAGGTTTTTAAATTTTTGATCCGTCATTTCATCCTATGATTGAAATAATATCCGAATGATAATGGCTAGCTGACATGCTGAATAATAATAAATAAGCAATTTATAAAATGTCAATATAATAATAACAGTGTAATAATTTTTTAAAAATCAGGAAGTGAAGAGGTACACTGATCATATTGCAGGTATACATTGACTACTCGAGCATACCAAAGAATTCCAGAAGAAAGCCATCCTCTGGTTTATGTATTACAGCAAAGCATTTGACCGTGTGGATCATTAAAAGCTATGGGTGTGCCACAACTATAGATTTTCTTGTTCAATCTATACTGTGGGCAAGAGGCTATGGTTATGACAGGAAAATAGAGAAACAGAATGGTTTCCAATGGGGAAGAGTGAAAAAGGTACATTTTATGGTATAGTTTTATGTTCCTACCTGTTCTTTCTATACGTACAACATAATACTGTATATGGAAAGCTGTGTTACATTCAGATGAAAGACCAGTGAAAGATGGTGAAAGAAGTTTCAATATTTTGCAGACAATAGCAACAGCTTGGAACAACGAATGAAGGTGAAAAATGAAAAAGCAGGGATGTGCCTTGTTCACCCTCATTTACTGATCAGGATTTACTATATTCAACAAGCACTAAATGAGAGAAGTTGGACTTTTTTCGTCATTCATCTATTTTATGTTGCAGACTTTAGTTGGGATACAGAGTTGTTTTGGTGGGCTGTCTCTCAAGATTTGCTCAACATAATTTAGAAAAGCATGCTGTAGCTCACATGCTCCCTCTCCTGGCTTTGCAAGAGCTAAACATCTAAGCAAGAAGTCAGACTCTTGAGTCCATGCTTCACAAAGGTATTGTATACAGTGGACCCTCGACTTACAGACGGCTCGACTTACAGACTTTTCATGTTACAGACTTCTCTGGCCCATGTTTCACAAAGGTATTGTATATTTGAATTATTGTTCTCCCCCAATATTTGGGGCAGTTTGTACATTAAGCTTTTTGAAATATACGTCTAGCTGTTGAAGTAAAAAATTATGATGCTTTATCTTAAAATTACAAATCAATTCCATTTATATTTAAAGCACGACATGGGATAACTCATTTTAAATCATCAGGACATCAGAGGTAAGTGCAGCTACACCATTATGGAGATCCGACTTACAGACTTTTCGACTTGCAGCCACCATTCCAATACGGATTAATTCCTTAAGTAGAGGGTCCACTTGTATTCGAATTATTGTTCTCCCCCAACATTTGGGGCAGTTTGTACATTAAGCTTTTTGAAATATACGTCTAGCTGTTGAAGTAAAAAATTATGATGCTTTATCTTAAAATTACAAATCAATTCCATTTATATTTAAAGCACGACATGGGATAACTCATTTTAAATCATCAGGACATCAGAGGTAAGTGCAGCTACACCATTTCTCCTCTCTCAAGACTGAGCAGATTAGCCCTGACACTAGCCATGAGTTGGGCTGAAAGAAAAGAATCTGAAGCAGAGTGCAAGGAATTAAGGTAGAGAAAGATGCAGCTTCTCTTACTCATGCTGTTGTTTAGTCGTTAAGTCGTGTCCAACGCTTCGTGACCCCATGGACCAAAGCACGGCAGGCCCTCCTGTCTTCCACTGCATCCCGGAGTTTGGTCAAATTCATGTAGGTAGCTTCAATGACAGTGTCCAACCATTTCATCCTCTCTCGACCCCTTCTCCTCTTGCCTCCACTATTTCCCAACATCAGGGTCTTTTCCCAGGAGATTTCTCTTCTCCTGAGATGGTCAAAGTAAGCCTTATTTTTGGAGTAGGGCTTATATTACAAGCATCCTGAAAAATCATACTAGGGCTTATTTTAGGGGAAACAGGGCATGCAGAATTTTTCTTTGCAGCATTGGACTTTCCTTTCACTTCCAGGCACGTCCGCAGCTGAGCGTCCTTTCAGCTTTGGCCCAACCACTTCATTAGCTCTGGAGCACCTTGGACTTGTCGTCTGCTCTTCCTCAGTAGCATGTTGGATGCCTTCCGACCTGAGGGACTCATCTTCCAGTGTCATATTTTTTAGCCTTTTGTTTCTGTCCATAGAGTTTTCTTGGCAAAGATACTGGAGTGGCTTGCCAGTTCCTGCTCCAGGTGGGTCGCGTTTAGTCAGAACTTTCCACTCTGACCTGTCCGTCTTGGGTGTCCCTGCATGACATAGCCATAGCTTCTCTGAATTAGGCAACAAGGCAGCAATCCATGAAGGGGTCTCTTACTCATACACCTCTGCTATCGCACAACCAGGCACCTTCTGCTTTGTATACACATGTGAATACAAGTAAATGTGGCTGCCAGTGTCACATCTTGGTTGCCTCTTAGATGCTGGGAGGGCAAGTGGCAGGCGGGGGAATTACTGATATTAACTGCAGGTTAGGACAGCAGGGATTCTCTCACACTCTGTGCACCTTCCTGTTTGCCAGAGCCAGCAGAGTCCTGAAATCAAGGTCCTGCAGGCTCCTGAAACTGGGCAGTTAAGGGCACAGACAGCTTTGCTCTTCCCTGTCTTCTTCAGGGAGGGAAGAGGAAGGGGGAGGCAAGCTTGTCACACTCTTAGCCAGCATTTGCAAGTAGCAACTGAGCCCCAATCTCATGATTCAGCTGGCAGTTGAAAGAGCCAGCTCTGTGCTCCCCATCGGGAAAGGGGTGAAAAAAAGAAAATGGGTCCTGATGATATAAATGGGCAAGCCCCCTCGGTGTTGGGGGCATAGCTGGAGATTCCCCCTGCAAAAGGCCATCCAAACATTTTAAAGCGGGCATTTGAAAATAACACAGTATCTAACAATTTACATAGATACACCTGATAAGTAACCACGAGCCACTGTATAGTGTGTGAAAGAACACGAAAACTGCTCTGTAATGGTACATATGTGAACAGATAACCAATATCCAACTAAGACTGTTGGGGGGGGGCAACCCATGCCTAAACCTTTTCAAAGGCAAGAAAATAGGAAGAGGAAGGTCTCTAGGTGAGATCAGTGGTTCTCAACCTTTTGTATCTTATATTCCTGAAAATACACTTTTTTAAATAGGAGTGGTGGCCTGCATAGTTCTGATAGTAGTTTTTCCCCTCATGTACTCTTGTCAGCTTTTGGAGTGGATTGATTCTATGTTGCCTTGCATTTGCTTTTTTTGGAATAGTTTTTATGGGTTCCTTAGGGCTTTGGAGTGCCAGAAAAAAACAAGAACAGAGAAATATGAATGGGAAACCTGGAAGAAGCTTTCCTTTTCATGTAATGCAAAAGGACTGGTAAAAAAGAAAATATAAAAACAAAAAATCACCCCTTGAAAGAACCCAAAGCAAAGAAAATACAAAACAAAATTGCCATGAACATCGCTATAAAATATCTTAACACTGGCACTGGGAGTACAAGCTTTGATTTGGATCAATGTCCTTTGCTTGCTTGCAGTGCCTACTTACATCTGTGGATATCAGGGAATTGGTGCATAATGATAGTATGTGATACATAGGAGTTATTGCTCACCTGACTACTTCACCAGGCATGGGCCTTTTTAAAAAAAAAAAAAATGAACACAGTCCCATAATTCAACAAGAACCCCTCAGATCAAATTATGAGACTAGGAGCCATCAAAATGGCAGGAGGTATAGCAGTCCTCTTACCTCCATGCTGTTCCTGGATCATTTTTGAGCCCTTTGAAAAGCACCCTAGGCACCTTGACTCACAAGGGTGCACAGGAGGGCAAGTTCCAATGGACGTTGCCTCTATATACTGTATTAAAATCAACATTCCCAAAATCCAGCTTACACATGTGGCTACACTTAATTTTTGCTTCCTTTGAAATGAATAACTCAGGTATAATGGTCAGTTTCCCACAAAGTTCCCCTTACTGCCACTTCACTTACTAACTGGATATCTATAGAAAGGGCTGCATCCTTAGTTTTCTCAACACTCCACATATATGAGATTAATGTGGAGAAGGGACCCCAGGGATTGCTGCTCCTTTATTCTAAATAATGGGCTAATTTAACTGATACCTGAGCTGGAACAGATCCATTGAATCAATGGGACTCATGAAGTTTTGGCTTAAATTCCATTCTTTCAATGGATCTACTCTATTTGCACCTAACAGGTTTGATCTGTTGCTCCCTGTGTGTGATGCACAGAAATGCCTTGTTTGCTGCTAGTGCAGATGTCCAAATTCAGTAATAGGCTATAAGTTCTCTGGTGGCACAGATGAGGGCTGTAAGGTGGAGTAAGAACAGACAGGGTCCCACCAATTTAACATACTGTACTTGGTATCATCAGAGTTTAGTAATAGTAAGCATATGAAATTTGTTAGTTCAGCCTTTCCAAATTGGTATCCTCCATATATGCTAGATTATGATTCCAGTCATGCTCATTTACTCAAGAAAAAGTCAAACTGCTTAAATTGCAGTGACAAATTGTAGTTAACTAACAAGGTGCCGGTGTGTGTCTGATTTGTGTACTAATCAGGTGACCAAGCACCTTGTTAATCAGCTGCAATTCACAATTGTGACATGCAATTTCATTTACGCTACTCTGAAGCAATCTATCAACTGGATTCTGGCCAGTGATATGAAATATGAGGGTCTCCACTCATCCAGACAAAATAGCATCCTTGATGACATCCAATAGGTCTTTTGGGACTATATTCTCCCACTCCACTCATTGCAATGTTTGCATTGTTTTAAGGTGAGGCTCTGTCTGTAGTGCCAACATCAGTTCATATTCTGTTGCATATTGAGACTTGAGTCACTGATTTTTGAAATGCCAGAAAGTCAAGTAAGCTCATATATGCTCCAGAAAAGAATAAATCAGAGCAGAGATAAGAGCAAGTCCCTCACTCCCTTCTCTTAGCTCTTCCTCAGTCTCCAACAAGTCACTTAAAGGAGAGTGGAAATTTCATGAATTTAAATGGTCAAATCTGCTGGCCCTGGGGAAGAGTTGCAAGGATCATTTTTAAAACCAAACAAAACAACAACAACAACAACAACAAACAGCATGGTAGTAAATTTCAGCCGGTACACCAGTTTACTGTTGTTTTACTATACTGTACTTCATGGTTAACTGGAATTAAATTTGTTCCACTGGTGCATTTGCACAAGGAGGGAAAGGAGCCTCAGAGGTCCCTGAGTGATGGGGGTTGTTTTCTTTTGCCTTTTAAACTCTTTTGAAAGAAACAAAATGAAAAGCGTTATCATATGATCACTGGGGAAAATGTTATTTAGACTGATGCTATGTCACTAATTGGAAGCAGATTGAGAGTAACTGGCTCTGTTTGCTTTATTGACTACATCTACTTTTTATTTTCTAAATCCAAAGCCAGATATAACACAGTTGCTGTCATGCCTTGTGGTCTGAGCATATAACTGCTTGCTTATCCAAGATGCTGCTATTGTGCAAGCTTTTTATTGTATTACATTGTACGACCAATTACAAGCTAAGAACCAACAATACACTATAGAAAGAAAGGTTTGTGTCATGTTAGAAGAGCTAACTACAATGATCTGTCATTCTTCCTTCACATTTTTTGTATGACTATCAGGAAAACTGAATGTTACAAATGTTTAATACTTCTGAGTTTGGATATTAAGCATCAGATCATCGAAATCAAACTAGTTGCTGAAAACAATAATAACAAGCAAATGTGGTGGTTTTTTTGTAATTCAAAGGTCATGTTCAGTCTTTTTATATTTACTTCTCATATCATTGGAGTTAATCCTCCAACTTTTCTCCTAATGAAAATTTTAGGTAAACTGATTAAATTGACATAGTAGAACATCACTCCACCAATGAGTATCAGCAACTTTGATACAGTAATCCTACCATACTTTATTTGCCTCTGGCTATTAGATATATATATATTTAGATTCATATATGGGTGTATTGACCAATGCTCTCCTACCCCTTCAGTGAGTTTCCATAGCAGAAATGGGAATTTGAATCCAGGTCTCCTGAGTCCTAGTCTATCCACTCCACCACACAATGTACAGTATTAAGGCTCAGATACAGGAAGCAATTAAATCTACCTGTATGTGTTGAACATGTGTAATGTGAGAACCAGACCTTAGGAAATGACCTCTAGAGAGGAAAGAATCCCATGAATATTTCTCATTTCCTGATATTTTTAGGCACAACTATCATTTTACTAAATTCTACTATACTACCTAAATACCATCATGCTGAAAAAACCTTGCATTTGAGTTCATTGTTAGTATGTATGAATAAACTCATCTCTCTCTGTCTTGCTTCCTCCATGTTGGAAGACACTGGGTAAACATTCCTGGAAACAATAAAACTTACCAAGCTGACAGTGCCTGCAACCAACCCATTAAGAAGAATCACATTAAAGAAATTCCAGTTCTTCATTTTGATGAACCTGCAGAAGGAAGCATTTGCATATCTTGTCAGCAAAACTGCAGGTTTAGCTGCTCACTGCTCAGAACTAAGCCTGTAGAAGCCCTCAGGCCCCAGCTGTGTGCTGCCTCATTTGCATTGCACTGAGTAGAAGTGAACAGCTAGAAACCAGTTTACTCTAAGAGCCCAGGTAATTCTCAGTCAAAAATAAGACCAAACCAAACATAACTTAATCCCCAATTTAGTTTTTAAAAATCTCCTCAGCAGAAAGTTACAAGGGAGAGGGAAAAAGGGGAAGAGTTTAATTGTTGTTGTCAACATGTTTCTGCTCAGAAATGTTTGGATTTCTCTCTCTTAGTTTACCCATCTTTTGTGTCTCGGTTTCTTTCCTGACTTATTGTTCATGAATGTTGTATTCAGTAACTGAATTACTGATTTTCAAAATCTTGAATTGAATCTTTCTTTATAGGCTTGTTTGTCATATAATTTCTTCCTTGGTATTAAACTGGACCAGGATTTAATGGCAATTCAAACTGGTCAAGGGGCAGCTGAACTGATATTGATCCAGTAGAGGCTATGCTGAATTCAAACCTCTCCAAGCCTTGTGATATCAGAATCAATTAAGATTTACTCTCATCCTAATTTTGCACTGGTATAGTGGCTATATCCCTCTGCTGAAAAGCATGTCCATCATGCAAAGTCTGTCTATTCCTAACAGACGACGATCACTCTGTTAATCATGAAATCAGTCATACTTGAGTCAAATGTAAATTATTACTTTAAAAAGACATCAGTTTGCAAATATGAAAAAAAAAATCACAAATACAGTGGTACGTTGAGTTATAATGCTTTTCAAATATTTTGCAAATATGAAAAAAAATAATCAAATCACAAATACAGTGGTACGTTGAGTTACGAACATCCCTAGTTGCGAATGATTTGAGCTACAAATGGCTCTGTTTGCAAAAAGTTGCTTCGACCTGCGAATGGAGCCTCGACTTACGAACCAAAAAAAGGGGAAAAAAACCTTTCCTGCTCTTTTTTTGACCTAAGTTCACCTTAGGTCAAAAGAAGAAAAAAATCATCCCCTTGTGGTAGATACAAATTAACCGGTTTTGCATTAGTTCCTATAGGAACTAATGCTTTGACTTAAGAACAGCGCCTCGACTTAAGAACGAAAACAGCAGGTACGGATTAAATGGTTTTCAATGCATTCCTATGGAAAAGTTTGACTTGACTTATGAACTTTCGACGTACGAACGCTGTTCCAATAAGGATCAAGTTCGTAAGTCGAGGTACCACTGTAAAACCAAAACAATTCAGCTGAAAAGTGTCAAAACATCCAGATTGTTAAAATTATTAAAAGCCAGGAATAAAACTTAAAGGTTGAAATCCTCTTCCATAATACACAAATGTGGAGGGATGATGACATCATAAGCAGAAGGCAATTTTGGCAATTAAGAACTTCCTACTTCTGTCCCAGGGTTCTTCGGACTCCCAAATAATTCCTTTCATCTTGTGGAAGCCATAGGATAGAAGGAGAAGTCTTTAGTTATTGAAAATTTCCTGATGAAAATGTCATACAGCAGTAGTGATTTTTGGTCATTGAAGAACTCCATCCTGTGACTCCTATGTGCTGACAGAGATTATGCACGAGTCAAAAAGGTTGCAGGCCAAAAGAAGGACGTTTTTAACTACAGTAAATTGCCCTCATCCTTCTGCAGGCATAGTTATGCCAATAGGATTTTTATATAGTAAAAGATAAAATAAATGTGAAAATCAAGGACTAAATGTATGCTAGCCTTGTATTCAAATGTTTCCAAACCCAGCTAGATCTTCTTTATAAGGGAAGGCACTTTTTCTGGTATCTGTCAGTTACACACTAACATAAATCCTATTTATTTCAATGGGTCTACTCTAAGTGTGACTAAGTCTGCATCCAACCACTATTTGATATTATAGCATTTGTTTTTGTATGGTGTAATGATCTGTTCTGCCGTTTACAAATAAATAGTGATGCTAAAAGGCTATTCTTCTAGGAATGCAGGCAGTAGTATAGTGGAAACAAGACTTTTATGGTCAGAATCTTGGGACTTTCTGATTAGCAGGGACTGTTACCTCACCTGCTACCTTCCTTAGGTCTCCCTCTGAGCTTAGCTGCAATTTTTACAGTAGCTGAAGATAAATGCCTCCACCCACCCAGTAACAGTGTACAGTTCCAAGCTGTTCTTCTAGTAATGGCAGGTATTTGGGGTGGTTTGTAGGCATAGAACTTTGAAAGTTTTTTGGACTACTGCCCCACACAAATCTTCAGGAATTTCTCTTTCCTTGGTAGTTTCCTAGAGGCACCTACACAGAGCATAATGGGAAAAGAGCCTACCACCCCCTAATGACCACAGAGCTTAGCCCTGCCACTTCCTTCATCTTCATGAAGACTCATCATGTCTGAGAGCATTTATTTTTCAGTTTTAAACGATTAAAAAAACACACACCTGAAAGGACTTCAATTTTTTCGCTGTAGTCTGCAGAATTGTAGCTGGAGGAAATCCTGCAGACATCTGGGGGTTGCAGTCTAAGAATTACAAAAGGCCCATGCCTGGCGGTTTGGTTTTGAATGAGCAATTAAGTGCCTTTAGCTTTACCAACGACCTGATTATCCATTATTGATATGGATTGAGCCAGCTATTTCGGGACTCTGCTTACTGGAGATGGAGTTGTGCATGCATACTGGGACGATAAACACTGGCACTTCCAAATTTTGCACTGCACCACTGAATACAAATTCCCCACTCACAAAGTTACTATAGGCATCCATTTGTGTAAGTGTACGATTAGTATATACTGGCTGTCAGTGTATCCTTACAACACATCTGGAGACCATTTTGGCCAAGGCTGATTTCTCTGATATAAATAATGGTAATTCAGTCACTCCCCTATTTTCTTACCAAACTTATTCAGCTCTTATGTTCTGTTCAAGTTTTTCACATTTCTTTGGCTTGGAAGGCAAGTTCCCCAAGAGATTCTAAAAAGTTATCTCAGCTGTATTACAGCAACGTTTTCATCTTGGACAGATTAAAGGCGTTTAGTTGTTGGGGGAAGTTGAAACTTCCAGTCCAAGGACATTAAGTGTGCATTTAAACTGTGTTGCTGGCTAAGTGAGGTTTGTATTATTACATTATTTTGATTTTTTTACTATGAGATAGAGCCTTACAGAGGAAAGCAAAACAATGAAGCAAATTAACTGGAATGGAAAACTGTAATTAGGCACACACAAAAACTGAGGCAATAGATAAGGGGTCCTCAGCAAAACAAAGTCCTTAAGTTGCTCAATTAACATCAGAGCTGCAGCTGGTCATGTGGTGTAAGTATTTCCCTTTCACACACCCCTATTGTTGTGAAGACTTCCTGGTACTACAAATATACAACTCTGCAATCTTCTGTTCTCTGCTTTGTTTTGTAGGGGAAAATTAAAAAGTGATGAGAGAACATGGTAAAGGTTCCCCTTAACATTTAGTCCAGTCATGTCCGACTCTAGGGCACGGTGCTCATCCCCGTCTCCAAGCCGTAGAGCCAGCGTTTGTCTGTAGACAGTTTCCGTGGTCACGTCGCCAGTGCGACTAGACATGGAATGCCGTTACCTTCCCACCAAGGTGGTACCTATTTATCTACTCGCATTTACATGCTTTCGAACTGCTAAGTTGGCAGGAGCTGGGACAAGCAATGGGAGCTCACTCCATCACATGGATTTGATCTTACGACTGCTGGTCTTCTGACCTCGCAGCACAGAGGCTTCTGTGGTTTAACCCTCAGCGCCAGCACATCTCTCTGAGAACATGAGAGACTTACAAATTAAAGATTGCAACCCCATTGCAGATACCCTAAATACCCAAAATAATTACAATTATGAGAAGGCACTATCAACAAGGTTTGAATTCTGCTCTACTCGATTCTGCATTGATTTCTCTATATAGAGGGGATGGATTGACCATTATTAGCTGTTTCTGGAAGTAGTTTTAGAAGAGTCTGTGCTAGCAAATCAGACAAAAACAAAATAAAAATAAAAAATAAAGAAGACAAGAACATTGTGGCACCTTAAAGACAAGCTGGAGTATTTTAATGTGAGCTTTTGTGGACAAGTCTGATGAAGTGGACTGGTCCATGAAAGCTCACATTAAAATATAGCAGTCAGCCTTTAAGGTGCTACAATTTTTTTGTCTTCTTTTTCATATATTTTTCTTTTGTTTTTGCCTGATAATTCTAGACGGATATGTTGTTTTAGCATCAAAAACACAAAGAATGCTCACTAAAAAAACACCACACAGAATGTGCTGGTCTGAAACCTATTTTTCTAGCAGTGGAGGGATGCTGCAGAAAAATCATGGTGAATTCTCGCTTGCTCCCCTTGAACCATGTTGCAGCTATTATCCATCATCACATTGCAAAATAGCTGATCAGGGTCAGCACCAATATTTATGTAAATCTAACATTTTTCCTGCAGTAGATGTGTGAGTGGTTAAGGGAGGTCTTTCAACAAGAACTTGTTGGATTTAAAAGCAAACACTGGACTTATTTTAAGAATAATCCTATAATAATTTTTCTTGCTATCTCATATGTAGTAAATAAGCATTGACCCCACCAAGTCTATTGACTCCAGAACTCAATTACTATTTCAGGTTTACCAACCTGCATTGAATAACGACAATTAAAATGTCAGAAACAATCTTTTACTCCTATGTAAATAACAGGGATGAACAAAGTACAGCTAGAGATCCCCAAATGATACACATAGGAAAATCATTTTTCAAATTATGGATGCCTCCAAGGGCAGCAGCTTTCGATTTATAGGCATTGGGGGGGTATCCCCTATGTTCTCCCCACTCCTGCACCAAACAACCAAAAAAAGAGTGCCTATTTGTGCACCTCCTGTTTACTTCTTTTTTTTGAGGAACAAAAGTTGTAAATGGCCATCTTCTGACTTGTGAGGCCTGTGGAAGGAGTTGGCAGCACAAACGTTGCCCCAGGATACTCGGAGTTTGCCCTGGTAAAGAACGGTGCCTCATCTGTTACCTGGTGTCTCCTTCACTATTATCTACGCTATTCTTGTCCTTCCACTGCAGCATTCCTACAACAGAAACTTTAGAAGGTACCAATACCTTTTCAAGCCAAAGAAGGTAACACTGAAAAAAAGTTATCCCTTTCCCTAATAGTGTTCAGTAAAATTGCGAGAAATTTACACAATCTTTATTTGCCTTGGAAAATGGAACCAATAGAAAATGAGAATGAAATCTTGCCAATTTGAAACCAAGGAACAAATGTAAAATGAAAATGAAATAATCCCTAATTTCGTTTAGGGGAGTTTTTTTTAAAAAAATGCATACAATGCTTCAGAAGAGGAGGTAAGCACCCAAATCAAGTGACTCATCCTTGGAAAAAGTTACCTTTTCTGGATTATAACACCCAGAATTTCCCAGTCTGGCTGTAGGTTTTATTTTTTGGACCTGTGAATTACCTGGTTACTTTTTTGAACTATACCTTCCAGAACCTTCCAGTCAGCCTGACTAGAAGCAATGCTAGCTAGGTGACTATAGAAGTTCTTCTTCAAAAAAGTAACTTTTCTGACCTCTTGCCCTTCCACATAGTAGTGGTATGAAGATTCTTACTGTATATGGAAATAAGTGATCAGCTGAGATTTTCGACATCAGCAGCAGTAACTGTCAGCAGAAATTTAGTTAGAGAGATGGAATTCTTCCCCTCCAAGGTAGTGATATGGCTAGCAACAGGCACACACACCAAATGGGATGGTTGGCTTAAATGTCTGTGGAGGCAGGCAAATGAGTCAAAGATGAAGGTAAGAGCAAATTGTGCCCAGAAAAATTATCCCTTCAAAAGTACTTGTATGTGTTGATAGAAAGAGCTTCTGCTGTTGTCTGGAGGCACCCATTACCTGTGGAAAAACTCAAATCCCACTGATGAAGTTCCTAAGTGTTTATTTGGAGGCTGTGCAATCATTTGAAATTAAGTCCCACTACATTCAGCTGTTCCCTTCTACATACATTTAGAACTGCAGCCTTATTTTCTTTAACATACTTCTCCCATTAGAGCGCAGCAATGTAATTATGTTTAAAATTATGGTTATTTCCAGTAATACAGAAACCACCAACACCCCTGAAAAAAATCCTGTGCTGTTTACCTTTGAATGCTGAAGAAATCCTGGAATGCTTACTGTCTTCAGAGCTGGTGTTAAGAATTTCACTGTCTTCTTCGGAATGATATAATTTCTGCTCTGACGTTCTGAGCTGTTCTAACAAGTGAGTCAGTGGGGAGGAATGTTCAGAGAACTATAATTGTTAGGACTATTGCTATGTTTCTACAATACAAATATGATGCTAATATGATCCACCTTGTAACTAACGAAGAAGGATGTGAACAAAGTGTCTATGACTAAATATAAAATAAACTAAAAACACCTCCCTCCCTCTCTCATTTGCCACAGAAATCCTTGTTCTTTTTCCTGCAAGAAACTAACACAATTCTATTCCTGAAAATTCAACAGTACTACATTGAGACACTCCTTATATTTGGGAAGCATCAACAAATAGATGTGGGTTGTTCCAGCAATGAGGCTCACATGTTTTATAAGACAATCCAGGCTCAGGACAGGATACATAATCTTTGCTGATACCAGACATTCCCCATAGAATTTGGTCCTGGAAGAAAAAAGGAAAATGTGGGTGCACTCCAATTAAACACTTTTTGCAATGTATAATTCCTGATGCCTAGTATCAGCTCTAGTCTCTAGTTTCTTGGCTGTGTGGCATGTGAGTAAACATGAGATAGTAGATCAGCAGTTTTTTTTAAAAAATAACCCAGTGACTATTCAGTGCACATAAACCTTCTGAGGAAGTTGGACAGTAAATATACTTTATATGCTGCTTGCCAACTATGTACCAAGAGGTCTAGAATGAACAAATAATCAATGGCTGAATCCTGTTGCTTAGTGTAGTCAGTTACTTTAGAGGAAGGCCCACTGAATCAGTGGAGATTTGATGACTCCTCTGTAAGTTCCATTGATTCAAATAGGCCTCTGCTAGTTGTGACTTATTGTAGCATAGCAAGTTGCAACTACAGTAGGACCATTTGAATCAACTGAATTTATGAAGTTGACTCAGCAAATCCCCACTCATTCAATGTGTCTGTCTAGTGTGATGTACTACACTGAGCAACAGGATTTCAGCCTTTTCCATCTACTACCAATTCTCAGGGATGGGGATTCATATCACAGGACTTGCTGTCAAGTTGGACTTAAGTTGTACCGGTGATTCAACTCAGACCTGGAACCTACCCACCCCTCCCTTTTTTCTGGGGAAAAAAAGCTTATTTTAATACGGACTCAGACTTGGAACTTGGGACTTGATATCAAAGATTTGGATTCAGACTTGGGACCAAAGACTCAAACTCAGACAAAAACATCTCTGCCAATTCTGTGGAGAAGATCTATCAGCAAGTGTCACTATATAAATCTGTTTTTAACCAGAACTGTGGTAGCTATAAAAATAAAGTCAACCCTTTTGGACTTCAAGCTATATATTTCACAATTTAAATGTTCCATATTTGGGAAATGGAGTCTGCCCCCCTTGCTCTGGTTGAGTAGTTTGGTGCCTAGTGTCAATTTTACTAGAGTGTTTTTCTTCAGGAAATCAGCCCCTCTTTAAGATATGGATCAAAAATAGAGATGAGCATAAACCACCAGTTTGGTGGTTCGCTGCAGTTCGTCTACCCACTGATCAGTGGTTCGTCACCTCAGCCCCTCCAGCGGGCGTCCACTTGGAGACAGCACCAAGAGGAGATGGGGCAGGAAATGACATAAAGCCACCAGTTCATGCCCATCTCTAATAAAAAAATTGCGATCGGGTTCCTTGGCAGAGTCTTGACAGTTCCTTAGTTTTGGCAGGAATCAACAAGAGAGAAGATTCTTTAATAACAAACTCTTTAACAGAACTCTTAGGTTTCTCAACAATAACTTCTGTAGGGTCAACATGACCAAAATCTACAGGAAAATCCATACACAACAACGGCAAATTTTCTCCATAACTTTCCTTCATCAACGGGGAGAATGTCTGAATCGCTCCTGGTCAGTTGGCTTCCTCAAACACCCACTCCTCACAGCACATATTATCCCGCAGCAGGGACGATGAGACCAGTCTCTCTCGGGTGGCTTCTCGTTCAGCCAGAGAAGTCCCGGACAGATTACCTTCCTCCAAGGACCCCGTCCTCGAGGGTATACCAGCATGGTCCATTCTTCAGGTCCTAGTCCTTCTACTGGTAATTTCACATCACTCCCTTTCCTATATGAATCTATACTCTTAAGACTTCCATCTCTTATTCCTCCCTTCTGAGGTAAACACTTTTGGTCCTCCTTCTTCCTCCTGCCATTCGTCTTCCAAAACCACCACCTTCCTTGTTTCCCCAGACTTCTCATCGTCAAGAAGACATTTCCTTTCTCCCTATCTTTCCTAATTCCTCCCCCTTTTCTCCCTCCTTCAGCTCTTTCACCTTCTCCGTAACCTTAGCTACCTCTCTACCTCTATCCTCTCTATCTTTTTCCTCCTCTATAGACATGTGAGGGAACAGCTCACTCTCTTTGGCTCACTCTCTTTCTCTTCTCGCCCTTTATTCTCCAGTTCACATGTCAAAAATCTGGAAGACATGGTTTGAAAATGGTCTTCTCTGCTGGATACACGTATATTTTAGCAGCTTGATACTAAATCAAAAACTCAGTAAGAACCCTTAACAGCAGACATCTGCTGCTAATCAATTTCAGAAAACTGCTGTCTTTAAAAAATGATCATTTAAAAATCTTGGGGAAATCAGAGAAATTATCTTCTGTACTGTTCTTTGTTGTTCTTATTTTTGTAAACTAATGCTAAAATTAAAGCTTCCAATTCCAACCCAATAGGTTCTTGCTGCCTGAATTTTGCCACATTACAAAAGTCAAACACACACACACACACATGCACACACGCGCGCACACACACACACACACACTTGGGATGGTTGCAAAACTGCAGAAATCCAGAGTTTTTGTCACTGTTGGTACCACCTTAAATCCTGAACCTTCTGGATAGTGGGGAAAGTACCAATAACATTGTACAATTATTTATGTATAGGGGAACAAATCCTCTGTCTGGATGAGTCCTCAGTGACATATGGATTATAATTCACAATGTCTGCACAACACTTCTGGTTCAAGGACTGCATAGACTCAATTTGCTTGTTACACACACAGAACAATTGCATGTGCCTAGGAATAAGGCAACAGCTGGATGTATTTAAAAATAAACATGTATAGAATTGCATTGCATTGCATTCCATCCCATCATATTATACTATATTATATTATATTATATTATATTATATTATATTATATTATATTATATTATGTTATGTTATGTTATGTTATGTTATGTTATGTTATGTTATGTTATGTTATGTTATGTTATGTTATGTTATATATTTTGGGGGGAAATTTTGATTTGGTTGCCCTTTTTAGGTGTATAATAATGCTGCCTTTATCCCCATATGGTCAAGGCAGTTTACAGCAATTAAAACTGTATATTGCAACAGGTTTAAAATACTATACACAAGCTATATTAAATATTTTAAAAACAGTTAAACATTAATCAATATAAAACCAAGATTAAAAACAATTTTAAAAGCACTTTTTTACTAATTCCAGATTTTATAAGGTTATTTATATTTATGATTTAATTTTGTTGTTGTTTGGTCGTTAAGTCATGTCCAACTCTTCGTGACCCCATGGACCAGAGCACACCAGGCCCTCTTGTCTTCCACTGCCTCCCGGAGTTTGGTCAAATTCATGTTGCTGGTTTCGTTGACACTGTCCAACCATTTCATCCTCTGTCATCCCCTTCTCCTCTTGCCTTTGCACTTTCCCAACATCAGGGTCTTTTCCAGGGAGTCTTCTCTTCTCATGAAATGGACAAGTATTGGAGCCTCAGCTTCAGGATCTGTCCTTCCAGTGAGCACTCAGGGTTGATTTCCTTCAAAATGGATAGGTTTGTTCTCCTTGCAGTCCAGGGGATTCTCAAGAGTCTCCTCCAGCTCCACAATTCAAAAGCATCAATTCTTCGGTGATCAGCCCTCTTTATGGTCCAGCTCTCACTTCCTTATATCGCTACTGGATAGCTTTGACTATGTGGACCTTAGTCAGCAAGGTGATGTCTCTGCTTTTTAAGATGTTGTCTAGGTTTGTCATCGCGTTCCTCCCTAGGGATATAGGCTGGGGATCACTGGCTTAGAATATCAATGTGTGAAACACCTCAGCCAGGAGAAGTAAAATATGTTGGACATCATGATACATCTAAATGCCACTCCTTTCCTTGTTTATTACTCTCCCCCATTACACATAACCTCTAACATTTTGTGAGGCTGGGAGCACCTCCAAAGGTGCTCCACAGAATGTGTCATCTATCTCTTCAGGAAGAAACACAGAGGAACACCTGTCAGATACATGATTTTCAAGGTCTATGTGTTGGAGCAGAGGTGACAGAGGGCACTGTTTCGGCGAGAAAAGAAGGGAAGAAGAAGGAAAGGGAGGAAGAGAGGAAGTTGTTGGAGCTAGAGGTGGGAGAAGCATGTTGGATGGAGAAAACAGAGGTAAAGGAAGAATTAGTAGAACTGGTGCAAGAAGACCCCTGGACAGGGGAGTGAGTAGAGTTCAAAGTGCCAAGAGATTATGCTGAGAAAGAGTGGAAGAGGCAAATGTACAGAAAGCCACCTTATTGGAGGGAAATGGAAGAGAGAGAAAGGAGAAAGCAGTATAGAGCTTGGCAACAATGAGCGGCTTGATGGAGAGAATGCAACCAGAGTTTGGAGAATCCTGGGAAACCCGGTGGAACTAGTCCGTTCCATCCTAAGTTGAGGCAAAACCCAGGCAAAAAGGTATGGGAGCCATAGGTGGGCTGGATCTTTCACCCCACTCAGTAATACAGTGGGGTCTTGACTTGCGAACGGCCTGAGGTACGAACTTTTTGAGTTACGTACTTCTCCGTCCGCAAAAATCGATTTTGACTTGCGAACGGCCTGAGGTACGAACTTTTTGAGTTACGTACTTCTCCGTCCGCAAAAATCGATTTTGACTTGCGAACGGCCTGAGGTACGAACTTTTTGAGTTACGTACTTCTCCGTCCGCAAAAATCGATTTTGACTTGCGAACGGCCTGAGGTACGAACTTTTTGAGTTACGTACTTCTCCGTCCGCAAAAATCGATTTTGACTTGCGAACGGCCTGAGGTACGAACTTTTTGAGTTACGTACTTCTCCGTCCGCAAAAATCGATTTTGACTTGCGAACGGCCTGAGGTACGAACTTTTTGAGTTACGTACTTCTCCGTCCGCAAAAATCGATTTTGACTTGCGAACGGCCTGAGGTACGAACTTTTTGAGTTACGTACTTCTCCGTCCGCAAAAATCGATTTTGACTTGCGAACGGCCTGAGGTACGAACTTTTTGAGTTACGTACTTCTCCGTCCGCAAAAATCGATTTTGACTTGCGAACGGCCTGAGGTACGAACTTTTTGAGTTACGTACTTCTCCGTCCGCAAAAATCGATTTTGACTTGCGAACGGCCTGAGGTACGAACTTTTTGAGTTACGTACTTCTCCGTCCGCAAAAATCGATT